GACTCTATAGGTTTACGGGAAAAGACTCTAAGACAAATACGAGTTTTGATAGTGACGATGTGATCATCGATTTATCAATAAGAATCCAATGGGAACAAACGTTGGGCAGCAGGAGAATCTAAGGGTTCATGGAGTAGTTTATTCAGGTGTTCACGCAAGTAAATCTAGCAAAGCGGAATTCCTAACTCGAATTCACTTAATGGTATAATCAACTAGCCCTCGCAAAGATGACTAATATATCTATCAACCTAATAATCAACTCTCGCGAAGTAGTTAAATGGATAAATATGGATAAAAGAGATCAAAATTCGATATGTTAACCTAATCTTTACCACGACTCTCGCAAAGGCAAAGTTCAAGCTCGTCTATACTAGTTCCAATCAATCAATCACAATTCCCTACACGACTCTCGCAATGATATTGGTTCAAGTTCTTAAGATTGACCTAGATTTAATTACAAGTTGGTTAAACTAGCAAATGAGAATGAGATAAGTATAGATAAAGACTCTGCTAAACTCCTAAGCATGAACAAATCCTATTTATCAATCAATGAATAACTCCCCTAGAAAATCTCTTAAACCCAACAATCAAACTATTCAATCATGGGAAGTGATTTCATAGCAAGATAAAAGTATTTTATATAGAAGAAAGGGTCTAGAAAGCTTCTCTCTATGGATACAAAGATTAGCAAAACGTCTCCCTTAAACAAACTAGTGAAAGAAACTGTATGAAACTCTCGTCTCCTTCGTGTCTCCTTTGTGTCTCCTTTAAACTCTCGCCTTAGGGTTGATAGCCGTGTGTCTCTCCATGATAGCCTACCTTTTTCGTGGCTGCTGAGTTCTCGTTAATAGGTGAGAAGTCGAACCCCTAGGCAAATCTCCAAAAAGATTTGAAGATAAACTTGAAAATAGAATATTTCTTTTCTTTACGGGTAAGGTGATCGATCGATCACTAGTGGTGATCGGTCGATCACCTTGTTAAATTGCTTATGGGTGAAAAACAATGGTTTGGTGTCCGATCGATCGACGTTGAAGATCGGTCGATCGCACTTCCTACTTCTGGATTGATATCTTCTCAAATCTTCTAGGATCAATCTTCATGAAATTTAGCGTATCGTGCAATCCAACATCCGATTTTGGCAATCGAATATCGGTTTTGAAACTGAGATCTTCATCTATTCCGTGATAAAATATGAGCTTGATCCAACGGTAGGAACATCTTCATCTGACATGATATATCCGACGGACAGGATTCGTCTT